GCGTTTTTTTTTGCTTATTTTGCTGCTTTTTTCTATGTTTTGCTGCTTTTTTTTGCATGTTTTGCGGCTGTTTTTTGCTTATTTTGCTGCTGGCTGAGCAGACCTCTGTCGAAGGCCACCGGCTGGGCGAACACGATGGGCCTGTTCAGCGTTATGAGCACGGCCTCTTTGTCCGAGGAGCCGCTGATTTCTTCCTGCAGCGCGTTCCGGAGCCCAATCCGAGTCCGGAAGTACGCCACCTGGTGGAAGTCGGAGCCGGCCTCTTCGTAGACCTGGCAGAAGGGGAGGGGTCAGCCTGGGCCGGATCCGGGGGACGGGCGCCCGGACGGAGGCCGCTCACCTGGTGCTTGACGATCTGTCCCAGGGCCAGGTTCAGGTCCACCTGGCACTTGCCGAAGAGCTTGAGGTAGCTGCTGCTGCCGCCCGGCTGGGCCTTGCACTGGATCCTGTTGGACAGCTCCAGCTCGATCAGCCCCGTCTCGAAGCGCACGGCCCGCATGGAGGGCGTGGTGGCCGTCATCTGGATCCCCTGGAAAACAGCCGGGCACACCGACCAACACCTCAACACATAAATCCACCTCCCCCATCGTTTCCTCTCCGTCTGCTCCTCTCGGGTTAGCTTGATTTGCATCTATACAGAAAACCAGCTACTCATTTCTGACACTTTCTGGAGTCTGTGGGCACAAAACCTGCTCAGGAGCTCAGACTCTTTAACTTACTGATGAGAAACTGGATAGGGAGGATAGAATGTGATATATGTTACATACATATTTCTACTTTTTAAACATTTTAGATGGATAAAAAAATCTGGATTAACTGTCATTATTGTAATGTTTTCATGTTTATGTTTTTAACAGAATCAAAGGAAAAAAATCCCTAAATTTGAGTTCGGTGGACGGGATACCTTGAACATGAGGCTGAGAGAATAAAGCAGGATTTTGGGCTTGTCTGCATCTGTTGAGGAGTCGTGCTCGTTCCAGAGAGGGATGGGCTGTTCTCCCCCTGAGCAAACAGAAAGAGGCTGAAACCTTCACCCCAAAAACGCATCAAACTCTAAAGAGGACAGATCGTTTTACTGATCCGAGGAGAAAAAACTGAGGAAAATGCAGCATAAAAAAGTCTCATTTGTTTAAACATTAATCCTGAGAAGCTCCTGGTGGTGATGGCCGACCTGAAACTTTCTGGATGACCTCGTTGACCTCCTTCATGAAGACCCTCTGCAGGAA